TAAGAGTAGACTTTGAGGTTTGGAATATTTTCCATGGTATTTGTAGACATTAAGTAAGCAGAGCTTGGTTTGCTCAAATTGTCTCAAACGTGTACATCTTTAAACAGCTAAACCTCTGTACAAATAAGGAAAGAAACAGTCATAGTTGGCTGCCCCAGAGAGATTACACTTTGCCTCACAGGAATGGGAACTACTGATCTTTGCTACTAGTTGTGCCCAAGTTCCCTGGGGTGATACAGGTAGTAACAGAAGGGAGTGATCAGTTTTCTAGAACCTTGTCGAGAACCAAGAAAGGATAAGATGCCAGTGTCATACCACTATTTACTCAGACACTGAGTAAGGTAGCCAGCACTGTACTACCCTTTCTTATTTTTGACCCTGCCCACTTATAGTGGAATTTTTAGTTTCAAGTGAGCATACCCCCTTAGGGACCGAACAAAACTTAAAAATAAGAAACACTGAGAACAAGATTATCATCACAGGATACAAATTTGGTCCCAACAAAAACAATGCCAGAAACACTTCCAGCGATCATTAAGAAGGTCTTCAGAACTATGACTGATGTCATTCGGTAGCCAAACAAAAGTCAGAATTCTTCTGAGTCTTAAAGGCAGACATGCGAAAATGAATACATGAACTTAAACAATCATTTAGCAACAAAGCATTCTAATAAGAAAGCTAAATTGAAGGAGAGACCTCAAATGTTAATTACAAAATGCATCACTTTCCCAACAATGGAGAAGTTGTGTCATCATATAACTCAGTCCAGTGAACTTTCAATATTATCGAGTCAACAGCAGAGCCTCTGGGAAAGCCAAATTGAAAATAAAGAGATTTTTTTTTTCATTTTCTATGTCAGGAAATTTGAATGCAAATTGGTTAGGTTTATTTTCATTATTTCAGTTACATCTAGAAACAGCAGCACAGCATATGAGTAGAAATGACGTGTTCCTATTATCAGCTCCAAGAATGCATGTGGAGAGGCTGAATTTAGACGAAGAGAGAAGAGTAAAATTTAAGTTAAATGAATAAGAACAAATGCCTTGATGACCTCACCCATTGGAGCATCCTCTAGCTTTTACTTTACAGGTTGTCACAGCCTGGAGTTCTGGCTGGAGGGAGAATCTCAAGCAGGTAAACTCAACCACCGCAAGCTAAAGGTACTTAGATCTGGATTTTGTAGACTGTAGAGAGGGACACAGCATGAAGTGGCTCTTGTGCTCCAAACACCTTCACATTATTTCTGAAGAGCCCATTGATAGGCCAAGTGACCTTCCTTTTGAGCACTACAGAGTCAGACTTCCCCATTCTGATGTGTTGCCGATCATGTGAGAAAATATCCTTTGACTGGGGAGTCCAACCTCCCAAGTGCCTTGCTTATCCTCCATGTCTGACTTTTGGTTCTTTCTTGCTTTACAGGATCTTTACAGATAGTACGGGGAGATGCCGTGCTATCCCATTGCCACTGAATTCCTAGTCTTCTCTGGAAAACATCCAGATTATGCCCTATCCTCAGCCATATGCTCAAACTAAAAGGCTTATCTGCCCTGATTCTCCCTCTCATCTGGCTGCCATGGTGTCAGTACAAATCTATAGAATGTTTCCCTGCTAGTCTTTGCTTATTGAAATCTTGGAAGGTCATCTTGGAAGGCTCTACTTTTTCCAGGAAGCCATCTTTGCTAATTCTGATAGAAACTGTTCTGCCTCATTTACAATTGTTTCTCTCTCAAGGCTAGAGTAAGATCTTCAGAGGACCATGGCTCTGAAAAGGTTTTGGTATTCTTCCATTATTCAAAATGTAAACAATTCTAAAATATAAAATATGTGTACAAAGGTCTAACCAGTTCTACCCACCCCCTCCATAATTGCTTGACAGGAGATTTTTTGGGGGGTAGAGGAGCAGAGGGAGAGAGAGAGAGAGAGAGAGAGAATCTTAAGCAGGCTCCCTGCCCAGCACAGAGCCTGATGTGGGGCTCAGTCTCACGACCCTGAGTTCATGACCTGAGCTGAAATCAAGAGTTGGACACTTAACTGACTGAGCCACCCAGGTGCCCCAACAGGTGATTTTTAAAACATATATAAAGTTCTTTCAAAAATTATTTTGGTCCCCCTGATTTGGTGGTATTCAAGGTGATGCTAAGGCTGTCTATTGGATTATCCACCTGTTTCCTTCACTAGAAGAAATGCATTATGAGACTGGGGACTTTGGCTGATTAACCACTGTATCTTTGAAGCCTAGAATAGCATCCACATACAATTGGTGTTCAATTTGTTCAACTAATGAATAAAAGGGAAATCTTCTGGCTGTCTTCAAATATATTAAGAACTTCATGTGGGGGATGTGTAGGTGGGGATACCAGTTTAGGTTTTCTCCTGTGCTTAAGACAAGGACCTATGCATGGGCACTACTGGGACTGAACATTAGAATTCTGTGACATTTAGAGTTGGTCAACATTACCCTTTTGTGGCCTTGTGAAGTAATAACCTCCCCATCAGAGGAAGTACTCAGATTAAAGGAGCATCTATCAGGGAATTCCTTCTTCTAGAAAGGAGTTGGAAGAGATGCCTGTAGAATGATGACCCCCAGTGACGTCTATGTCCTAATCCCTAGAACCTTTGAGTGTTATCTTACAGGGTAGAAGGCATTTTATACATGTGATGAAAGTAAGGACCTTAAAATGGGGAGATTATTCTGGATTATGGGGGTGGGGGGGAACAATCTATGTGTCCTTAAAATCAGATGTTTCCTGGCTGACATGGCAGTCAAAGGATGATATGAAGAACAGTCAGAGAGGTGCAACGTTGCTGGCTTTGAAGAAGAAGGAAGTGGGCCACAAACCAAGGAATACGTTTAGCCTCTAAAAGGTAGAAAAGGCAAGAAAAGAGTCCCCTGCCCCCACCACACATAGCCTCCAAAAAGGAACACAGCCTGGCTATCACTTTGATTTTTATGACTTGTGTTGAGTTTTTGACTTCTGTTGGAACTCTAATGTACAGAACAGTAAAATAATAAATTTGTGTTTTAATCCATCAAGTCTGTTGGAAAACTAATACAATAACCTTTAAGGTTGTTTTCCAGATCTAAGTTTCCATAACGCTGAATTGTTGGAGGAGGGCCTGGATTAGAACCAGGAAAACAATTCCAAAGGTGAGGGTTTTTAAGCACGGTGGTGCTTTATCAGTAGATTGTGAAATCCCTATTTCCCATGAGCTTAAAGATCAGAATGGGTGAATGTGATCTGTCTAGAGCTCCATCTAAAGTTCTATTACCCAAGAGTTCTGGGGATAAGCTAGATGAATTCCTACTCCCCGGAGTCTATAAAAGGGCTCAGAAGTGAAAAAGTAGGCTTTCTATAAGATTGGGGCAAACTGCATTCATTCATTCGCCCATTCATTCATTCATTTATTCAAATGGCCTTTAAATGGAATTTCCCTTCTGAATGCTTTGGGTTTTAGGTGAAAATGTCCAAACTGAAGCATTAAAATCTCTATTTCCTATTTGGAATGAGATATAAAATTTCACATGAACATATATATATACATAAGTAACACAGCCATTGATATTATGTTCAAATGAGCCTATCATTTGATTTTGAGTGATTGAGCAAGGCTGCTTATTTCCATACAAAGGTCTGTTACAATAGGAATCATTTTGATTATATCTTAAATTTAAGAAAACTCCCTTTGGCCTCAGGGGAGTGCAAGCCTTTGAGCCTGCAAATCAATTTTCACACAACCAGAACCCTCTCCAGGAATCTGTTCTGACTTGCCAACTAAGGTCCCCACAGAGAGGGAGAGAATAGCTGCAGATTCCACTTCAAACTCCCCCAGTCTGTGCTTTTCATGTGACACTGGCCTCTGGCTTCAAGGAAGTCAGCAAGCATGCCTTAAGCAGTTCCTGCTCTTTTTTTGAACGGTTACATTTGTTTTGGAAAGTGAAATGTAAATTGATCTGGACTGTTGATAATTCCAGGAGGTACTCAGCCATATGTGATGTGAGGGATCTCTCTGAAACTTGTAAGTGGCATTTGGACTACAGAGTCACCGTCTCCAGAGTCAGCCTCCCTTCCCCATGTGGCACAGTTAAGTTCTTGTCCATGTCTGTTTGAAGGGAGGTGGAGAGGGAGCGGATGTAGGTGGCAGCTAGTGTCATAATCACCTCCTTTGCACCCTCAACATTTCTCATCTGTCCTTGTGCACCAACCAGTTTAGTGGTACAGAATCTAGTTTTGCATCAGCAATGATGAGGCCACTTCACCTAGGAGCTGCTGCATCTGGGCTTGAAAATCTGTCAGCCAGGAGACATCATTATGATGGGCTGGATGTGGCTTTCAAATGACCAGTTACGTTCCCTAGAATTCCTAGACCTTGGACATAAAACCCCATTTCATCCAGAGGAAACTGAAGACCAGAGAACTACAGAGTCTTGTTTCAGGCCATCTTCTGACTTCCAGTCCTAGTCCAGTGTGCTTTATGCTTCATAGCACTGTGACCCAAACTGGTTTCAAATAGGGGTGAGGCTAAACATTTCATTCATAAAGAGATCTAGCATCTTGGTTGAGAGTACAGCCTCTGGAGACCAGGATATCTGGGTGTAAATCCTGCCACTTACTGGCAGTGTGATCTTGGGTAAGTTACTAAACAGTGAATTTATCCAGCAAGTCAGAATTTGGCCTAACCCCTGGTAAGGGGGCTCTGAGAAGGACTGGGGTAATTTTTAATTTCTTAACCAGCCCATCCGAGGGGAGTAGGGAAGGGTGGGTGGATGTGGTTCAGAGGAGCCAGAAATTGACTGAGACCCAGAAAAGCAAGAGGCGTGATATTTCTTGCTCACCAGAGTTCGCGGGCTGACATTCTTACCCGCTACACCACAAAACCACAAGAATTCTCATTTCTCCGCTATCCCAAAGGTTATTAGCCCCGTCTGACCATCGAACAATCATCCTTCTTGAGCCGGCTTAAGTTTCCAGGCCTTTTTCCGTCCTGTTGTCTCCTGCCAGCTTTCCAGTCCGAAGGCTGGATCTCCCACGTTGCCAGGGCCAGAAGAGCCCACGGTGGCCGGACAAGCCATGGCTCCGCGGGCTGCAGAGACGCAAGGCACGGAGACCGCGCCGTCCTCGAACTTCACCCCAGGCGAGGCCCTGGAGCCCAAGGGCGGGCGAAAAAGGAGGGCTCAGGGGACAGAAACCTGACGCTTCCGCCTCCTCCCCGCGGTGGGCAAGCCGCGATCCTGGGATGGATCGTCAGCACACCCAGCGCGCTGCGCATGTTTGGGAGCGAGGCGCCACGACACCAGCGACAGCCGGGGACCGCAGAGCGGGCGACGGCGGCCGAGGAGGCCCAAACCCAAGGCTTCGGCAGATCAGGGTCCGCACTGACGGGTGTGCGCGTGCGCGCCTCCGTGTAGTCCGGGATCCAAAGCAGCGGAGCTGTGGGCGCGTCTGTGGCATGCACGGGCGCGGCCCCGAGCCCGATAGGGGTGGCGCTGGGCGCAGTCCCTGAGCCTGCGTGCGGTGCGAAGCCAGGCTGCGGGGCCCGGGTAGACCGCGACGGCCGTGGGCGCGCGCCGCTCTCCAGCCCTGCATCCCAACTAGCCAACTAGTTCCAACTGCGAGCGCTCTGCGGACAAACGCGGGCGCGCGAGGTAGTGGCCGGGCACTCTGGGGACCGAGCAGAGCTGGCCAGACCGCCTCAAGCCCTGTGACTGGCCAAGGCCCTTCTGGCACGCGCTTCATCTATTAGCGGGTCACAGTGATAGCACTCCCCTCACGGGAGTGTGGCGAGGGCTGGATGAAGAGCGAGAAGCAAAGAGGATGTCTTTCTACATCACCTGCAACTGGGAAAAGCAACCCCTGCATTCTTGTGGCAGCTCGTGTTGTTGGCGCTTCATCTCCCTCTTTGGAGGGTCAGCTTCTGGAAGGTTGTGTTGGGGACAGCTTTACTTTCCCAGAGGCCATTTACGAGATGTGCTCTGTTCTTTTAAGCTACACGTTTCAAAAACATTTCTTCCTAAGGCTGTATATTCCTTATAATGTATTATTTTCACTAATTACTGTGCTAGAGGAAAGGAAGGTAATCAAAGGTATATATATATATATATATATATATATATATATATGAAGACTCTTCAGGAAAGTGTCGGCCAGAAGGCAACTCACCAGCCAGCCAGCATTGTTGCATGAAGAACCATGGGAGCAAACATGAGACTTTTTTAGGGATCATGGTTGGATTTTCAGGCATTTCCTGTTAAATCATGGTAAAGAATATATATTTGTGAATAGAGGGGCCCATTTTATGTCTTAAAAACAAGCCCAATGGAGTACCTGGATATCATGTTTTAGGAAGTATGAGCCCATTGTGGTAGGCTGAAAATGCACCCACCCGCAAGATACCCACATGCCTGGAACCTGTGAATGTTACCTCATTTGGAAAAAAGTTTGCAGCTGTGATTAAATAAGGCTCTCCAAATGGAGAGGTTATCTTGGATTAGCTGAGCGGGCCCTAAATGCAATCACAGGTGTCCTTAATTAGAGAGAGGCAAAGAGAGATTGGACACAGGAAAAAGAGAAGGTCATGGTTAGATGAAAGCAGAGATTGGAGTTTTATGGCCACAAGCCAAGGAATGTTGGCAGCCATCAGAACCTGGATGGGATAAGGATGGGATTCTTCCTTCGAGCCTCCAGAAGGAGCAAGGTGCTTTGTGGACACCTTGATTTTTTTCTTTTTTAAAGATTTATGCATTTATTTTAGAGAGAGTGAGAGTGAGCAAGTGGGGGCAGGGGGAGGGGCAGAGGGAGAGAGAGAATCTCAAGCAGACTCCCCGTTGAATGCAAAGCCCATGGTGAGGTGGGACTGGATCCCAGAACCCTGGGATCATGACCTGAGCCAAAATCAAGATTCGGTTGCTTAACCGACTGAGCCATTCGATTCACTAGAACTAATTTTGGATTTCTGACCTCAAGAGCTGTGGTAGACTACATTTCCAGTGTTTTAAGCCACCAAGTTTGTGATAATTTGTTACTGTAGCCACAGGAAACTAATACTCATTATTAATTCAGAGAACTAATAGATCTCCAAGTCCATATAACATATGGACTTGATACTACTAACATATATCATTGATACTAGCTTTGTCCTATTTTCCCTCTGTGGAATATCTTGACTTTGTGGTTGATATAGAGAATGACTGGGTGACCTTGAGTAGGGTGGCTTTAGCCCACCTATCCAGGTGTTTTCATTTGGTGTTGGTTGCCAGGGATAGCAATATAAACCATAATGTACCTGTCAAGGCCACGAGGTCAACATTAGCCTGTCAATGTCCATGTTGGCTTCAGAATGTTGAAGTTAATTGCTCACCGTGGCTCTCCATGCACTCTGAGAATTGGATAAGCCTCACAATCTCTGTGTGGTTATAAGGTGAGCCAAGTGAAAAGAAACAAAAAGGAAAAAAAAAAAGAGAAAAACACTTGGCTGTTTATATTTAGCATTGTGAGCAAATTTATGTTGTACTAGGTTTATAAATCATAACCCATAAACAAATCCATGAAGTCAAAATTGATTCAGGAGCTCAGGCTCCAGTTCTAGCTCTCCTTTAGGCAATTTACTTACCCTTTCAGGAGAGATGAAATGGCATGAGACACAATAACAATACATATTATTTAACAAGCACATGTATCAGAAGCTGGACTAAATGATATGCATATACAATCTTATTTCATCTTTGTAACAACCCATTGCAATAACTTATCTTCATTATATAGATGAAGAAATTGAGTTTCAGAAAAAATTAAGAAAACTTGCCCAAAGCTGCAAAATCAGTGGCTGAGCTGGGATTCAGACACAGAGATGTGTTATTCCCAAGTACATACAGTTAATCACCATTGAGTAGTTCATAAGTGTAGAGACAGTGGAAAGGTGCATCATTATGCATTATAAGTTAGAGTCTTTATTGATGTCATTATGATTTTAATTTCAGAGCATCAAATGTCCACACAAACTCTAGATTCTGTTCCTCCTAGACTCAGTGTTGGATGTCCTTACTCTGAGTGGCCCCAGTAAACCAGTGAGGAGGATTTCTGGGAGTCAGGGCCTTGATAGTATATGTATTTTGGGAAAACAATCTCAAATCCCACTTATCAGTGAAGATTTCTCTCCTCACTACTTAATGCAATGAACTCTCATGACCTGAAGATTGCTATAACCGCAGCCAACAGGTTTGGAAACTAAGGAAGTTTCATTCACTATGATTATCCTAAATATGTTATAATTTCTTATTTAATTCTTCATTTAACGCAAGTTACCCAGGAATACATTTTAAAGTTTCTGAGCATTTGAATTTATTTTAAGCTGCAAATCTTAACAGAGCTCTAAATGTGGATTTCCCTCCCAAAGTTTTACAGATCCAACTGCTAAAACCATTGGGTAACAGCTCTGAAAACATGAGTGAGGGGCAGGGATGATGTGACCATGACAGTGAGGAAGAGTCAGTATAACAATGTGGTCTGAAAATCACTACTGTGGCCAGTGGGAGCTCAATTCCACTGGGAATGTTCCAGATGTTTTCTAGAACTACTTGTTTGGAGGATGGGAACCTGCTTTGTGCCAGCGGTAAAGGTTTGCCCTTAGCAGGGGTGTGGAGAAGGCGTGTGGGGAGCAGAGGAAACAGCAATCATTCTCCCATATTTCTGGGCAGAACTTGAACAGGCCAGTGACCTTCCACTGCTTCAGCTTCTGAGAAGGCTCTGAGGCAGGACACCTACAGACGAAAGTATGCTCATTCCTGTATTTCACAAGTGTTGAATACCTGCAAATTTCAGGCATTGGAGATAGAATGTTGAATTAGACATGGTTCTTGTCCTTATGGGAATTAGAGTCTAGTGAGGTATCATGTGCCAGAGTTTATAGGCAAGGAAGTGACTTGAGTGTGTAGGGACCAAAAAGTTGTTCAATATTCAATCTAACTGGAACATGGAGGGTGAGGGGCAAGACTAAATAACTAGGGGTCAGGTAATAGAACACTCTTGTTAAGAAGCTTGGGCTCCATTTTGAGGGCAGTCGTGTTTTTAAGCAGAGAGTGACATCATCATATTTGTATTTTGAAAAGAAACAAGCATTTTGGAGTAGGACACAACTAGAGGTAGGAGGATCTTGCAACAGTGCAGGTGAGAAACAGGGGGCTCACAGTAGCCTTTTGGCAATAGTGGTGGTGGATGGGGAAGGTATTTAAGAGGAAATTGTTTATCAGTTGGATGTGGAGAGTAAGAGAGTAAGCTAAAGGGTTTTAGTTTGGTTTCTGGCAGCAGGGTAGATTGTAAAACTATTGCTCAAGTTATAGAAAATGTAAGGTGGAATAGGTTTGGGGTGATTTGAATTTGGGCCTCTCTCATGGCTATGATGATCACCTGGGTGTTGAAAAATGGATGGACTCTCACACTGAGAGGACTTAAAACAAGAAAAGAAAGGAACCAGGACAGAGTTCTGCTGCCCACTGATGTTTAGGACATGGGCAGAGGAAGAGAATGCTGCCAGGAAGTGACACGGGGGTCTAAGAGTCTGTTGGAGCAGTTGACAAGCAGGACATTGGTGATCTTTGCGAGCAGTTTCCGTGAAGTGGTAGTAGCCAGATTTCATCAAGTTGAATGGTTAATGGGTGTTGATAAAATAGTGTCTGCTGGTGTAGACATTGCTTCCAGGAGGTTTGTCTTTATATCAATTCCTTAGAGCTGCTCTATCCAGAAGTTTTCTGTCAGTTTCTTAGAGCAAAACAAACCAGGTGGCTTAAAACAACAGAAATGTATTCTCACAGTTCTGGAGGATACAGGTCTGAGATCAAGGTATCTGTAGAGCTGGGCTCCATCTGAGGTTTTGAGTAGAATCCTTTCTTGCTTCTTCCTAGTTTTTGGCAGTGGCTGTCAATTCTTGGTGTTCCCTTGCCGGTAGACACATCACTCCAATCTCTTTGTCCATCATCATATGGCATTCTCTTGGTGTGTTTCTTTCTTTTCTTTTTTTTTTTTAAGATTTTATTTATTTATTTGAGAGAGAGAGAGCACAAGCAGGGGGAGCAGCAGAGGGAGAGGGAGAAGCAGGCTCTCTGCTGAGCAGGAGCTCGGTTCCAGGACCTTGGGATCATGACCTAAGCCAAAGGCAGACGCTTAACTGACTGAGCCACCCAGGCGCCCCCTCTTGGTGTGTTTCTGTCTTTACATGGCACTTTCTTCTTACAAGGACACCAGTCCTATTGGATTAAGATCCACCTAGTGACATCTTCTCAACTTGGCTACATTTACAAAGACCCTATTTCAAATAAGGGCACATTCTCAGATACCAGGGATTAGGACATCAACATCTTTTTGGGGGACACAGTCCAATCCATAGCAGT